AGGAAGTTCCAGCTGAACCCGAGGAAGAACTTCTTCCCTCTGAGGGTGACGGAGCCCTGGCCCAGGCTGCCCAGGGAGGCTGTGGAGTCTCCTTCTCTGGAGATATTCCAGCCCCGCCTGGCCGCGGTGCTGTGCAGCCTGCTCTGGGTGACCCTGCTTGGGCAGGGGGTTGGGCTGGGTGACCCACAGAGGCCCCTGCCAACCCCGACCATTCTGTGATTCTGTAATTGCTCTGTATCTTAAACAAAGGTGTAATTGAACAAACCATTTCAAAGACACCAAGTTCTCCTTGTAACTTCTATACAACAATGCGTACATTGAGAAGTTCAAACAACAGGCCAGGAGCTAACAGCTAGTTCAATATTAACGATGAATTGATGTCATCTTCCTTCTCACATGACTGTCACTGTGTTTCAGTTACCAACGTCACTTCTGTTGACATGTTTCTTAAAGATGGACAAGGTCAGCTAAAGGGTTAGGAAAAGAGAGTCAGTGGGTAAGTGGGATGAGAATAACTGTAAGGGAGTAAATTTTCCGTACAAAACCAACTGCTCTGACACTGACAAGCTAAGAACATGGCTGTTTGGAAAATAAAGCTTGAAAGAGTGAACATTGTCTGCTGCTCTTCAGCAAAAGACTAGAACATAAAACAGCTTCATCAGACAACCAACTTCTTAAGAGCTTTAAAAAGATGGGTTTTTAAATTAAGTTCTAAAAAGAAGGTGAACTTTTGAAAGTCAAAGGAGAAAACCTGTCTCTTTTTAAATAGTCAACACACTCAAGCTTTGAACGCTTATAGGAGGAAGACCAAAAAACATAGCAAGTTGATCGGCATCCTCCAAAGGGAGACACAGCACGAAGTGGTCCGTATAAATCTTCTCAATGGAAGGTTTAAAAGCTACACATGCACAAATGCTGTACATTCAGTTTTACAACTGCTTGTATTTTACTCAGGATGAATAGTCCATCTCTCCACATGCTATACAGACATCTGCCCGCGTGCAAACACCTGCAGCGCTTCACCAGTTGCTACCAGGTCAACTCTTGTGATGGTGCCGCTAGCTTGGAGTGGTAGAATCATCACAGAACGCTTTGGGTTGGAAGGGACCTTCAGAGGTCCTCTAGCCCAGCCCCCCCAGTGAGCAGGACATCTTTGACTAGACCACGTTGCTCAGAGCCCCGTCCAGCCTGGCCTGGAATGTTTCCAGGGATGGGGCCTCCGCTGCCTCTTCACGTAAAGCAGCACCGTGCCTGGTGCCGTTAACAGCAGGGGTCAGGTCCGTCCCTGGGCTGCGCCACGGGCTTGCCCCAGCAGCCCCGTTTTCCTTGACGTGCTGGCCGTGGCGAGCGCTGCCATGCGATGCCCCGCAGAGGGTCTTGGAGGAACATCTCACCCCACCAGAGCATGAAATCTTTAACTGAGACTCTTGACATGACAATATGTAACAAAAAATTATAAATATGAGCTGTTGCCAAAATGCAACCCAGAAGCAGGAGGTGAGCAGCAGAAGCTCGGCAGCGTGCGGGCAGCTGCCAGCCCTGAGCTCTCCGGGGGTTTCTGTCCTCTACGGGCTGGGCAGGAGCTTGCAGAGAAGGTCAATGACAAGCGACGCTGGCTGCACATTGTCGTACTCTGCAAACAGGTGACAGAGGTTCTCCGAATCGGTCTGGCTTTTGGCCACGAACCCAAAGATCCTTTGAAAAAAGGAGAGAGAGCCTTATGTAGTTTGCAGCCAGGAATCCAACGAATACACTTTAGCCCTGGCCACAAAGCAAAATCCTGGTTCCAGCAACTCCACCTTGGCCTGCTCCCCAATCACGTTTACTTGGAAGCAAAACAGCCGGGAGAAGTGTTTCTGGCAAGGCTTTCCCATCTGTGAAAAGTTTCTTGAGCGCAAGGTAGAGCCAGATATAAACTCACTTCCTGAGCCCAGAGCAAGCGAGTCGCTGGGAAGAAGGCCGACGGATTTGGGTGGGAGCTTTCTACGTGAAGGGGTGCGGAGCATTGGGCTTGGCCAAGCCTCTCATCAAAACCTGCAGAGCAAACCCCCCGTACAGCTTCACCCCTTTGTCCCACGTCTCATCCTGCCGCCACAGTAACTTTTATTGCACCCCCTCTTCATTTTTAAGCTTGGAGTCTGCTGCTCTGCAAAGCTCTGCGATGCACCCGCTGGAGAGGGGAGCCTGGGCCAGGGCAGCATCCCCCCCGGGGTTCCCCAGCCGGGGGTCCCGCGCAGGTCTTACCTGGAGGACTTGCAGTACTTCTGCCACCTGAGGGAAGAACAGAATTGGGTTTTCTCAGATTCTGGTGTTTAACTCATTCCATCAGCTGCAAAGTCCAGGTTTATGTTTAGCCATACCCCGGCGCGTTAAGCCCGTGGTTGGGATTTGGTATTTTGAGCGGTGCAGAGCCAGGAGCAGCGGAGCCGCGCTGGGAACCGCGGGGAAGCGAGCACGGTGCGGTGGCTCCGGCCAGCACGGACACCCCCAGCCCGCAGAGCGGCCGATAACTCACTTTCTGTTCTCAGGGTCCATCCCACAAAACCTGACGGCAGCCAAGGGGGAGTGTCGCCTGAAGAACACCCTGCCGTGAGGAGGAGAGCGTGGCGTTAGAGGGGACGCGGCCCGGGCGTTTGCAAGCTCAAGCCCTGCTCGGGTTGTTGTGGCTGCCGGGGACGGGGGCGGTGTGGGGGGCTGGGGATGCGGGGG